GAATTCTCAGAAGGCCATGCCCACACAGAGGCCTCATTGGCTATGATCCAATTGACAGACTAGACTCCACCCCTTCACTCTTAATCCTCTCAAGTCCCAAATTGACACCAGATTATGTAACTACCACACTGCGCTTTAGATGAAGGTTTACAGAGCGGATCATCAAGTTCACATTCAATCAGTCAGACACGTTTTCTTTCAGCTCATCCACTGCCATTGCCCCAATGTATCCTTGCTTATCCCATCTCCTCGCTGTGTTTCCTATTTCCCTTCCTCTTCTTTCCTAACCCTCTGGACTTGGTTTTCGGCAAGTGCTGCCCTTTTGAACTTAAATGGTCGGTTATTTTATCCTGGGGGTGAGTTCCGTTTCAGACCTGAAGGGTGACTAAGGGCCACAGTCTTGGGTGTCCCACCAGCCTCGATCCAATCATAAGCCTGGCCTATTGTATGGTTTGATTTCTGTCCACACTTGTCTCCCATCTTATCAAAGATGTTCTATTATGATCATCCTCACATTAGGCCGTAGGAGTCGGTGTTTTACTACCTCTTGTCTGTCAGTTGGGCAGACTGTGGTGGCTTGCGTGTTGCAGTGATAACAACTGGCGATGTGGAATGCAAAAGTTAGAAACAGAGGAAGGAACAGTAGTTAGAAAATAAGGCCCTAGTGATAGGATGAAGTTGGAGATCGCATGATAGAATTTTGCAAGACCAACAACTTCTTCGTTACAAATACCTGTTTTTCAGCAACAAACACACACACACAAAGGCAACTATACACGTGGACTTCTCCAGATGTAATAAATAAAAGTCAAATGAACTGCATCTGTGGGAAGAGATGATGGAGAAGCTCAATATCAGGAGCTTAAATCAACCAGGGGCTGACTGCTCATATGTAAGTTAAGATCGAAGGTAGCGAAGATTAAAACGAGTCTGTGAGAGTCAAAATACAACTTTGAGTATATCTTTATCTAACCTGAATTTAAATAACATCTCAGAAACAGATCGGGTATACTCAACACTAACAGCAGAAAAACTGATGAAGTATGGGATGACAGCAAGAACATCATACATGAAGAAAGTAAATGGTCATTAAAAAAGACTGGACATAAAAAAAGATCCAAAGTGGATGTCAGAAGAGACTACGAAACTCGGTCTTCATCACAGAGTAGCTCAGGCAAATGCAAGAATTAATGAAGTCAAAGAGCCAAACAGGAGATTTCCGAGAGCATCTCTAAAAGGCTTGACAGAATATTATAATGAAATGTGTAAAGACCTACAGTTAGAAAACCAAAAAGAATAAATACACTCTGGATATCTTAAACTGAAACAATTAAAGGAAAACTTCAAGCCTCAAGTTTTAATACTGAAAGATTCTATGGGCAAAATATTGAATGATGCAGGAAGCATCAAAAGAAAATGGAGAGAAAAAGAAAAGAAAATGGAAAGAATACAGAGTAGCTATCAAAAATAACTAGTCAACACCCAACCACTTCAAGAGGTAGCATATGATCAAGAACCAATGGTACTGAAGGAAGACGTCCAAGCTGGCTGAAGGCTTTCGCCTAAAACAAGGCCTCAGGAATTGATGGAGTACCCATCACAATGTTTCCACAAGCTGAGGAGGCACTAGAAGCATTCACTCATCTATACCAAGAAATTTGGAAGACAGCCACCTGACCAAATGACTGGAAAAGATCCTTTTTTTGTGTGTACCCATTCCAAAGAAAGGTGATCCAACAGAGTGCACAAACTATAGAACCGTATCATTAATATCACAAGCAAGTCACATTTTGCTGAAGATCACCCGACATTGGTTGCAGAGAGGTGCCAAAGAGACAAGCAGGATTCAGAAGAGGATGTGAAACAAGGGATAGCACTGCTGATGTCAGATGGATCTTGGCTCAAAGCAGAGAATACCAGAAAGATGTTTACTGTGTCTCATTGACTCTGCGGACATTTGACTGTGTGGACCATCACACACTATGGAGAGCCTTGAGCGGAATGGGAACTCCAGACACTTCATTATGCTTATGCAGAACCCATATGTGGATTCAGGCAGTTATGCAAACAGAGTAAGAAAATACTGCCTGGTTTGAAAACAAGATAGGTGTGCATCAGGGTTGTAGCTTCTCCCTATACTTATTTAATCTGTATGCTGAGCAAATAATCTGAGAAACTGGATTATATGAAGAAGAATGTGGTATCAGGATTGGAAGAAGGCTTATTAGCCATCTTCAGCCTTCAGTATGGCTTACAACTCAATGGAAAGAAGCCCCAAATCCTCCCAACTGCACCAGTAGGGAACATCATGCTAAAGAGCGAAAAGCTTACCGGTAAATTGTCCAGGACTTCATTTCACTTGGATCTACAATCAGTGATCATTGAAGCAGCGGTCAAGGGACCAAACGATGGGTTGCACAGGGTCAGTCTGCTGCACAAATCCTCTTTGGGGTGTTGAAAAGCAAGGATGTTACTTTGAGGGCTGAAGTACCCCTGATCCAAGCCGTGGTATTTTTGAACAGTCTTATATGCACGTGAAAGTTGGATGT